CTATGACTTCTAGTGTTATGGTTTCTGTTTTGTACTTCCAGCACTCAAGTTCTTCTCTGTTCTGCAAATTCTAGTTCTTAGGTTTATCTCCTCTTGTTGCTGCATTTCTATGTGTTTTGTTTACACTTCCCTGTTGTGTCATTATGGGTAATTGTGTCAGCTGTTTTCCCATGTGTGTTCACTTTCCCAATTAACCTCCAGTGTACTTAGGTCTCGTGTTTCTTACTGTTAGCTGTCTGGTTGTCTGCTTATGTTCTCTCCCATAGTCACAGCCAAAGTAAAGGTCATAGTTTGACATCTCAGTTTGAGTCAAGTCACTGTTCAGTTTCGTTCCTGTAATCAATCAGCAGCTAAATAAACGGTCCGCTATTGGTTCGCATCTCAGCTCAGTTTCCCTCTGTGTCTGCGTTTGGATCCACACCTCTCTCTCTCTCTCCGCACGATTTGCCTCCAGAAATTGTGACAGTTTGGACCCACATTTATCGCTTCAGGTTTAAACTGTGAAGCTACCAGACTTTGATAGATTAAAGTGCTTACAAATATTAAATAATATATAATATAAATATGTACATGACTTAATGCATTAATACATCCTGACATTCCAAAGCAGAGTAAATATGCAAAATCAATACAGTAACACAAGAGATGCACATCGATATCCATCAGTGAATGTGTGAGTATCTATAATGACCAGTCTTTCAATAGAGAGCAGTGCGTGGATGTGGGAACCAACATCTGCTGTTAGACATACTAGATCATCACCTAGTGATATGAATGATGCACCACTGTATAAGTTAAAACAAGCTACTAACCAGCTTAAAGATCTTGAAGAAGTCCAGATTAGCATACAGGACATCCTCTATCCTCTGGAGCCTTTGCTGGCTCAGGGCACACATAGCATTGCGGACCCCATGCAGTCCCATGCGAGTGGGGAAGAACAGGAAACGCTCCAAGAGGGCCTGACTACATGCTATGTCTTTCAGCTGCAGGTCTGGGACTCCAAATGCAAACTGCAAAACAGCATCAAAATATTTGTATTCATATTCAGTAAGTTACTATAATGTATATAATGTCTTTTTAGACAAGTGCAATTGCCACAATCCAGGTAAAGCATGGTTTTAATTTTGATTCTCCGCAAAAGTTCATCATTAACCTCTGCAAAAATCTTTCTAAAAAGATGTACCTGTTCAAGTCGTATTTGTGCATTGACAAGTTGATAAACTATAGACTCTGAGAGCCCGGCATCTCTTAACAGGAAGGCTGTGAGAACTTCATCATCCTTCAAAATATCATCCACCTTCAGCCCGCGACCTAAACGGAAAATCATGAACAGAGATAGCGAAAGGTCAAAATCAGCAAAAAATAACTTTGACCCACTGCGCTGAGGAAATGATTCACAGCAGAAAAGATTGACACAGATTTTCAGAGAAAACGCAGTGAGGAGGGGTGTTTATGCACATTTCCCTGCCAAAAACTAAAGCTAATTTCTTAGGAAGAAATACTGAGAACACATTTCGGGTATGCCTTTGGGCCTAGTCATAAAAAACGGCATGTGACTCAGCACCATAATGTGCAAATTACCCAGGATTAAAAGGCCAAAGTGAAAAATAGTGAAGGGAAGTTTATAAACCACCATGGAGGAATTCTTTTTGTGTAGATGTCATGTACGTACTTTTTAAAGCAAGTGGCAAAATCTACAATAAAAGATATTTTTAAAGCCTGCATCCATGCAGCACTGAAAATGTATAACGTAATTTACAGAAATTGGACAAAATAAATAAATATTTTTATAGCTACTGTTTTCTGTTTATGTTAGGTTAAGAATTAATGTCTCTTAAAAGGAAAATTATTAGCACCTTTGGGTTCACATCTGTCCAGAAACCTTGTTCTCAATAGTCAGTTTTTTGTCAGCTTATTAATAAAAACGTCTACTGGCCACTTTCCTCTTTTTTGACTTCACCTGAGACTGCAGACGGATTGTTGCGTAAAGTTTCCATGAAGTTTGAGAATGATGACATTTCATGCCAAAGCCTGCCAAGCTGTTGGACCTCCGTGTCATTGAGCAGAAGCTTTTGGATGTTGCTGTAGAATCGCGCCAATCTGGAATAACCCCCCCAAAAAACACACAAAAAAACCCATTTTTTTATAAGGTTAAAAGTGGTTTTTACCAAGTTTAAAAGAGCTGAGTTATGCTTACACCGAGTTATTATAATTGGAAACAACGCCTGGGGATTCTCCTCGGGTTGGATATCTAAAGCAGGGATTGTTGACGTTGCAGAAGATGCCCTGAATCCAAGGGAGAATCCCTGTAGAGGGCAGCGCCTTGTTGGGGAAATGACCTAAAGAAACACAGACTACGTTAGAGGCAATGTGAGAGGTTGTGATTTGATGTTAACAGAACTGTGAAAGGGTAAAGGCATACTATTTTTACAAGGAAAGAAAGGAATTTCAGCAAATACAATTTTGTCTTTTTCTTTTCTTTTCTAATTTGAAAACTTGATGCATAATTGGCGAATTCTTCTTACACTCATGTTGTTGGTACAGTGGATTGGCTTTCCTCAGCCACACCAAACCAATGAATAGCAACACTGGCCAGAAGATCTCCACCAGGAAGCGGATCTGGATAGACAGATGTGATACAGTCATACACCGTGAAGTATGAGAACAACAGAAACACAACCAAAACAATTGCCATGGGGTTTGAACATTAATATATATACATATATTATACATATATATATGTATGTATATTAATGTTCAAACCCTATGGTAATTGTTTTGGTTGTGTTTCTGTCGTTCTCATACTATTTATTTCTATATATACAATATATATAAAAAGTGTTACCTTCTGTCTCTTTCGAAGAGTCCAGTTTTTCCACAGTAACAGGCTGACTTGAGAGCCAGTCTTCATTGCTCTGCAGCTCAACCCCTGGAAGGGGTCATCAGACTTTAATAAACCTGTAGATAACATAACTCCATTAGTGATGACATTTACTACAGCTATTTCGAAGACACGAGACAAACTAGATCAAATTATTGGAGTTCAGAAAGACCCATATGTGGATCTAGCCCTAAGAGCACGTCTTGTCTTGGGCTGGATTTTGTCTTGTGCTCATTTCATATCAGACTTATATTTGAACTGGTTTATGAGAGGTTTTACTACAACTGCAGATAATTAATTCACAAAACACACAGAACCCTGACAGGCTCCGCAAAACCACTGAACCTCTATTGATTAATGCAAAAGGACAAATTTTACCTGCAGTGGCAATGGGTGATGTTATTAACTACCATATGTGTTAACAGACACGGTTACAGGATGTATTTACATGACTTTGTGCGTGTATACAAATAAAGCTTTATACTTGCAATTTGAACCTACTCTCATGCAGATGTATTCCAAAGGCAAATTAATTTTCAGGGAGATGTTAAGGGGAAAATGCCAGTGACATATACAGGATATGTGCAGATGGTGCTTCAGAAAATCTCGGACATGAAGAGTAATTTGCTCAGTGCAACGTGTCCAACAGATTACCTCAGAGCGCATGAACACCTGTCTGGAAAACAGGGGATGCTGTAAGACTGAAACAGGAGAGTAAAAGCTATCATTATGTATGTGACATCTCTGGATGTAATTTTGGGGGTTTTTGTGCTTTCTGCTCTCATCTTTGGGAAAAAAAGCTGAAAAAAAGAAGAAAAAAACCGTGGCATAAATCACTTTAAAAGGCACTGGTCTGCCATGTCCCACCAAAACAGCTTTAATGTACTTAGGCACCTTTCTATGTCTCTATTGGTCAGAGTGAACACCATTGCAATTATTGCATTGATAGTCCCTCATTTGCTGTGGTAATGGTGGAGAAAACACCCTAACACACCGCTCCAATATCTCCCACAGGTGTACGAACTGGCTAAGCTTCCCTCAAGTATAACCAGTGGCCATGACACCCTTCACTGAGTCTGAAGTCTTATTTTGTTTGTTAAATTTGTCATTTACCTTTATGCAAGTTAGAAAAATAGTCATTTTGGAATATGGGGGCAGTTCTGATACAGTTTGGTTCCACTCATCCCTTTAAAGAAAGGTCACAGCAAATCAATACCAAGATGTTCTGAGTGAATCTAAAAGCCAAACAGTAATTAGCAGCCATATCTCTTTGTTACACGATCTTCCAAACAACTTAGTCAACAACAAGCTTAAACAAGTAAATACAGATCCTTACCTGTTATGGAATGATAGAAAAGTAGAACGACATCTAGAGAAACAGGTTCACCGACAAGCTGAAGTATTGGGAAAAAATTAAGCAAGGTAAGAGATCCGTGTGCCTTCTAGCTGCCCACTCCCTCTCCTCTGCCTGCAGGTCAGCAGCACTCCTAATCTGATTGCTCTAATCTCCCAGCTCAACATGGGCAAGCAGAAAAAACACAACCGTCATCCATTTTGAGGCAGAATTAAGGGGATACCTACGGAAGAGGAAAGGAGGAATCCAGGTGGAGAGATGTTTCATCCTATACTGGAGATGTGTTTCATCACGGCGGCAACCAGTGTGCTTTTAGAAAGATAAAGGAGCAAGATTTACCTGCACAGTCACTGCACATCACTCTGGAAGAAAGCCTTTCAGCTAAGCACCTCCATAATAAATCAGTTTGGACTGAGTGACACAGGAGCTGATCAGACTCAGAGACAAGGGGGTTTGTTTCAGTTCTGAAATGACTCATTGTTTTGAGCAGCTCGACAAGGTGGAGTAGGTGACATGGGAAATTAGGTGAAGGGAATCTGAAATCTTGACGGTATCACATTAAAGCTACTGTGTAGAGATAAAAAAGAAGAAAAAAGTGAGTACCCTTATAAGTAAGAGGGAAAACTGAAACAGACACACACCAAATAAATATAGCATAAAGCAATAAATTTAAAACAACCTTTCAAATATAACCTTGATTCTCCAGGGCGCTGAACAGAAATCTACAAACAAAACAACAACAACAAAACTCAATCTCAAACAGAGTCATTTCAAATGTTTAATTTGCAGCAGGAACTGTTGCGTGTCATTCGTCTTCCGTATAGTCACAAAAATGTGAATAAACACAACCTTTGTGACAGACATGGAATATGCATCAATGAATATAAAAATGTACAAAGATACAAATGATTTACATGCTGAGAAAAGATGTACCAATCACAGGCTATGAACACATTAAAAGATGTAAATGTTGACTTCTTTATCAGTAAGAACCCTCATGCTTGAAGTACTTACATTTATACCTAGTGGAATAAGAGTTAAACTAATTTTTTAAAATGAAAGGAACCCCAGAATCTGAACCTGGATTATTAAGTGCAGTGTGTAAAATAGATTTCTGTATAAATCAAATATTCAAGAAGAAATGTGATAGGCTTAAAGTTCGTTTCAGACAGAAGTTGATTTGTTGCCAGTTTTCTTTGTCATACATTTAATCTATTTATTTATTTAAAAATGTGGCAATAAACGATTGTGTTGGCATCGACATTTTGAGCGCTTAAACCAGCTGCTGTTGACTTAGACATATGAAAGAATATATTAGCACTTTTATAACACTTTTATGGTTTATTTTCACAGGTCGACATTTCCTTCCATGCTCAGCTTGATGATAAAAATCTTTTCCCCAGCATTCACTGTGATAAAGTAATATTTACAGATATCATATGAGTTTTTTTGTTTGTTTCTCCTTTTTTTGGTGTCAGACAAAATGAGCCTCTCTGTGTTTGAGCTCCTGCAGCCGCCGGGGTCGCAGTCTTTGGTAAACAGGTTTATTCTCACTAGGGCTAAGGTCGTCAGGGCTGCTAGGGGGAGGAGACTGAGGGGGTGACATGGGAGCAGAGGTTGAGACCCCAGAGTCTATGGCACTGTCAGTGGAGTCCTGAGTCTGGAGTGGCGTCTGTGTGGGGCTTTTAAGGACAGGGGACGGACACGCTGCTTCAACAGGGCTGTTGGGGAAAGACGATGAGGTGGTGGTGGTGGTGGTAGTAGCAGGTGATGTGGTAATGATGGTGATGTTGGTGGTGGGTGACAAATTAATGGTAGTGGAGATGATGGTGGGGGTGGATGATAAGCTGGTGGTGGTGGCGGTAGTTAAAGTAGTATTCCAGTTTGGGAGTGTTGTAGCACGGCCGTTGTTGGAAACAGGGGGCTTGTAGAAAGTTCCAGAAGGAGGGTGCAGAGTCCTCGGTGCCCTGAGTGTTAGTGGAAGGTTTGGTGAGCTGCTAGACTCGCGGAGTGAACTCTGAGTGTCATTTTCCCTTTTGGAGGTCCAAACAGACTTGAGTGACGATGTGTAAAGGTTACTGGAGAATACGGTGCTAACGCTACTCGTCGTTGGAACCACAGACGCAGTTGTTGGGGTTGCAACATTGCTAACAGGTATCGTTGCCTTTACAGGCTGCACTCCAGAACTGGCAGATGGTAGGTTGGCCATTATCATAGCAGTCCTGGGTGTAACATCATAGTGCTTGTACTTCTTGTCCCACGTCCTCCTCTGAGTGTCAATAAAAGGAGTAATGTAGTAGGTACTAACCCTGGATGAGCCACTTTGCCGAGCCCTCTCTGGCTCTGGCATCTCCTGTATAGTTTCAGCAATGGTCTCCCGCTTAACAGAGCCTGAATCAACAACATCGCTGGTGTTTCGATTATTCCTCTCGCCGATTTGAGCTGGTGCGGGCAGGCGTTCCAGTGGCATGCTGACTGGTCGAGACGCTTGTCTGGCGCGCTGGTGGCGCAGCTGTACCTTTGGTGCCATGGTGGTGACAGAGGAGACGATGGTGCTGGGACGACCAAACACTAAGGTTGATCTCTGAACATCTCCTCCACTAGAAGCCTGGACCCCGTTGACTCTGTCCAATGTCGAGACCCCTATTTTGTGTTTTCCTGGTCGGACCTCCTGCACCTCACCCATGATGTGAGATGATGGGATGACAGATGAGTATCTTTTGTAGATTTTGGTGCTCTGAAACGATATAAACAGATTACAATAAACTAAACTGTATCTACATGTAACAAAAACACCTGAAACCTAGAGGAGGGAGAATTTTTTGTTTACTGTTTTGTAAAGATGAGTTGTTGTTTTTTTTAATTGTGCCATAGAGTAATTTCTATTAAAAAAAATAAAAAAAATACTGAATCTTTTTGATTACATTAATATACTGTATTAAAGTTGATTTTATTAACACTGAACTGTTGGGAAAGATAACTTTAAAGGCACATATGGCCTCTTTTCACTTGACTGGTTACATCCTAATCACAGCATAAACAAAATGACTCAAATTTGGTTTTATGATTGCCTTAATCCCTCCTCACCTCTTTGATGTCAGTCAGGGAGGTTGAGTGTCTGCTAAGCTGTCGAATCTTCTCCTGCGGGGTAAGTCTGGGGGAGGCCTGGCCAGCGCTGCTTGTGTCAGAACTAGGTAGGAAAGATGCATCAAAGACTGTCTGAAAGTGTTTCACCAGCTGCTCCACCATCAGTGCCTGGTAGGGGTAATCCACCAGGGAGGACAGAGACACCTCTGCATCTGTATGCTGTGGCTTCACCAGTGTGGGGCCAAAGATGATGCCAAGGTTGCTCGCAGTCATCTTGTTCTCTTCGGCCTGCTCTGAGACTCTGTGGGAGTCAAAGAGTGATAACAGTTTTCATTTGAAAAAGACATCTTTCTAGGTATGGTTCAAGTATTGCTGTATCTGTTTAATGAAACACAACAAAATGAGACATAAAGCGACATTCTGTAGAGCAGCATCGGTCCCTTTATTGATCTGGATAAAAAGATTTGATAATAGTTTTCAGCGAATCACCTTTGACACTGAGAATCTGAAACAACTACCAAAACCTCAACAATCATCTACATGCCAATTGCATGTTTCTGTCATGTCGTGGTCTAAAAGTCCTGCAAATCAAGTAAGAACATCAACTAAGTTAAATTAAAGTATATATATTCTATTTAGAGTTTTATTAATGGTGGTGTAAATTTAAAGTTGCGTGTAATGAGATCGACAGAGAACTAATTTTGTGTTAGTAAGCCTGCTACTTCCGCTATGCTACAGAGAAGTCTCTGCTTCCCTTTCTGTTATGAGGAACTACACATATTATTCTAATTATGAGGAACAGACTGAATTTACACTCTGAAATAATTCGGGGTTTTGGTTTTCAGCCTTTACCTGTGTAGATGTGCGATCAGGTAGCGCAGAGTCCTGTAGTTGGCTGGGGGCAGCTGGCGGAAGAGATCTCTGATCTTAAAAATGACTCTGTTCAGCTGCATACTCGGCCCAGTCTTCTCTCTTGGCTGGTTGTTTTGAGCTTTATTATCAGCCTCTTCCACTATCACCCTCTGGCACTCTTTTGCCAAACCGATGACATCATTGTAGAATCGATAATGGATCAGTGGCTCTGGTAACTGAGTAAAACAACCAAAGTGTTTTGAGTTTCTTGTAGTGGAAAATATCAATATGCTATTAAAGTCATTTTACATGTACCCAAAAAACTAAATCCAAATGAAAGAAGCACAATAAAGTAAGGGTAAAATCTAAATGATCGACTTAACATTAACTTAACAATACTTCAGATCATAACAGCCTTTAAACATAAACAACCTTTAACTTAAGTGGCATGCTAATTCTCAATAACCTCCCAACAAGTAAGAATTTCAGGCCCACCTGTCTAAGATAGAGCTTGAGAACATTGCTGATGTCATGAGGGGAGAGATCAGACAGCTCAACCAAATCCTTCCCATTTTCAAACGCCTGACAGAGCTTCTCAACGCGTGATTTGGCACCATTCACACGATAAATGCCCTGTGAGATGTACACAGACCAATGCATTTTTTAATGTAACTCATAATCACAGAAAATACTTGATACATAAGTCAATGGTATTGTATTTAAGGTCACACATGAACTTTTATAGCTATAAAACTGCAACACAATAAGAGATGAGGTAGTAAAAGTAACCATCCCTGCATCACAGGGAAAAAAGACTTACCTTGATGTTGAGGGCTCGACTCTCAATCTCAGAAGTGCACTTCTTGATTATAAAGGGGATACCATCTGGACTGTTTTTTGCTGCTTGGGCAAAATCAATACCAAACAGTTGTAGCCTGCCTTGTAGCTTTTTATGACCACACTGGATGGCGAGTGTCTCCAAACACTTCTTATGGCAGGCCAAGGAGCACTGTAAAAGACAAATGAAGCGACAGTATAATTAACTTGTGTCTTCCCTGCAGAATTGCAAAATACACTGATCCTTTATAAACACCTAATACACAAGACAATTATCACGATGAGCATATTTACTGTACCTCTTCACATTCAGCTCCATGGAAAACGACCAGACTATCACATTCTCTGCATTTAGACGGGGCTCGAAGTTTTCTTAGCTTATGGGTTTGAGCAGCTTTGGACATCTGAGCATTTCGGAAAGGACCAGGAGAACTGGAGGTCTCTGTCACCATCTCTGCCAGACCTAAAAAACAGAACCGCTGATGAGGAAAGGAACTAACTCGACAAGTGACATCATTCAGAGTTATTATTAGAAGGGAAGCTGGCATTTACTTCAAAGCAAAAAAAACAAAAACCTAAATTGTAAGAGAATTACACTATCTTCTAGTTAGCATAATTATTTTAAAATCTGCTATTATGGTGGCTTTTTATAGTTAAATGGGCTTTCTAACCATGCACACTGAAAAATAGGTCGAATAGCTCATTGGCTGTTTAATTTCACAGTAAGAACACAAAGACTGGATGAGGTCAACACAGATACAGGAAGTGTTAGCTGAAAGTATCAGCCAAAACTAACACGACCTCTATCTGTGCAGTGCCACTGAGTATAAAAACATTTGATCTAAGCAAAAACCACCACAGATTTGGACTAGCAGAACACCGCCATGTGTAATACATGATAAAGAATTGTGCAATGGTCGCTAACTATTTCTCCATCCCTTTCTAGACTTCCTTGTCACAAAAAGGTATACAATGATTACCTTTCTATCCTCCTGAGCAGAAGGGTACACAGAGAGCATACAGTGACAGGAACAAAACACACCCACAATTACAAACATATCTCACCATTGTCTGAGGGGGATGGTGCCTCTCTGTCATCCAGATCGTCAGCAGAAGACATGGTCCCAGTGGAAGGAGTTCTGGGCAAACGGCGCTTAAAGTCGCCTGAACAAATGTGTACCAAAATGCTCAGTTACTATATGAAAATGTAGTTTTACCACACAAGAGCAAAATCAGGGACACTAGATAAAAACATAAGCTATACCATGCACGAGTAGATTTACTGCTGAATATTTCACAAGATAAAGTGAACAGATCACAGTAAAAGCCATATCTGTTCATCTTCTCAGATCACTTAGACTGTGTCCAATATGATAAAAGTTTTATTTTACTGTCTCGTATATTCATATTTTTATAACCAGATCCTCAAATACTCATTTCCCTGCCTAATGTGATCATTTTCAGTTACTACTGGTCAAACACTCACAAGACCTTTATAATGAATTTATGAGACGTTTTAAAATTTAAAGTCCTCTTACCTGGACTGGCAGTGGGGGAGTCCATGGACCTTGACTCACTGCTGCCTCCAGCACTTTCTGAGTCACTGCACATCCCACCCTGGCTCCCCTGACTACTTGAGCCCCATGCTCTCAGTGGGGTCTGGTTTCTTAGAGCTGCAAAAGCACACACAGACCCGCAGTCACACACAAAAAGAATAACAACAGAAAATAAAGCTACATGGCAACCGCTCGTGAAGCGACATTTGTAGTGTCAGTTTTAGTTATTTTCAGAAACAAGCAGTTTACACAGATATTCCAGACTTATGGTGATTAAGCAACACACAACCCAAACTGTTTTGACTCTAGTCAAGAGAACATTTCCATGACTCAGAACACAGGGTAAGTCCCTGAGAGGTTCATATAAAGACATTCAACCTCCAGCAACAGTGCCAATCATTCTTAGCTTGTTTCTAAAATTGTACAGTTTCTAAAATAGTACATAGCTATGTTGGATAAAGGTTTATTTTAAGACTCCCCTTTATAGCACTAATGTGACACCAAAGGGGAATTTCTGTGAATTTTCTTGTACAGACACAGACAACAACCATTCTTTTTGACCATTATACTTTCAAAGTGCATCAGCAAGTTAAATAAACTTAACATGTGTTTGAATGTACCTTGTATGTCTGTGCTGCTGCTGGACCTGTGCTCACTGATCTTTGCAGGCCGATGTATGGTACTGTCCGTTTCCTCTCCGCTCAACACGTCACAAGAGGTGGTGGATGCCTGTGACAGGTTGCCGTGGGAGGAATGATAGCTGCCCACTGACCTTTTGCTGCCAAATCTGAGAAATAAAGTTGGTATTTAAGGCTTTCAATTAGAACTTTGATTATGACTAATTGTTTTGTTTTGTTTTTAAACCCTATTGCCCTATTCAGCATTATTACATTTCAGTGTGTATCTGTCGCATTTGGACAGGACTGCTGACTCAACCCTTACTTCACCTGGCGCATAGGTTTTTTGCTTTTCTGGCTCAGAATAGAATTCCTTTGATATGTTTTTAATGCATTTAAATACAAGATTTAAGCACACTTTTATCATGCGTATACAGTCTCAGCAATATTTAGTTAGTCCAACAACTGAAAAGAATTAAAAGATCTGGCAGGGCTTTTGTAATTGCACAGCTATAAATACATGTTGATAAAAGTCATACAATTTTTGTGTGTGTGTGCGTTATGTGTTATTATCAAGGCTTTTTTTCAGAAGTAACTTGTGCTCTGGTAAAAACTGAAAGACAACATTAAGGAACAGAAACTGAAATTAGGCCCAGGAGCAGACGGCTACGACACATAATGTCACGTTAAAAATGCCTTTAGAGAAATGGAAGCACAAACGTAGCTAAGTACTAAGTTCGCATTCCAGACAGACAGCTATTTTAGTCTGTAGCAACATCTGTAATTTACTAATAATAAGTAATGTACCAGCATCATTAATTGTTCTATTAACTTAGTGTGTATTATTTTCTTTGTAATAATGAGCATTTATCTTATTCAGACAAACTACATAGAGTGTTGGGACTCCTCCAAACCAGAGCCATACTCTCACGCTCGCAATCTTCCCTCCTGCATTCAGCCCGAGCCACAGATATTTCCTGAGGAAGGGCAAGGAATTCAACGCGCATTCTGTCTCTCCTAGTTTCTTTCTCTCGCTCCAACTCTGACTCACTGTTAACCTTTGCTGAAAGAAGAACTGAGAAACTTCCAAAGGGGTGTGAGCGACAGCAAAAGGTACTTTCAAAATCAGCCGTCCAAAAATGAAGCTTCAGCTACAATGACCAAAAAATGCAACACAGCTAATACTTGTGAGTCTACTTACAGACAGTCTGTGTCAACTCAATTAAATCCAATGATCACATATTATGGCAACATGTACAACATTCTGCTGAATTATGGCAAATTTTAAACTGCAATAAAGTATCACAAAAAAGTATAACAAGCAGGTCCTTCTTAAAAGTACTTGTACAAAGCTAGGAAGTTTTGATTTTAAAAACATTAGTTTCATGTTATGCATAATCATTTCAAAGCCATTTTTATTATAAGCTTCCCTCTTAGCGGACCAATAAATCATTAAAAACTTTTAAAAAATTCTAGGATATGACTTTGCATTCATAGTCCTTCATACCTTATATTTTCGGAGGAGATGGAGTCGGAGTGAAGATGCTCTTTAGGGAGATTTTTGGACAGGTTACGCACAAACTCTGCATAGCATTCGCCCGGCTCATACAACTTGGCATTTTCACTGAGGGCCTGGTAGTGTGCAGGAAGTGACACGGTCTGTGTCTGCTGCATTTGAAACCAGTTCACTGTCACCTGAAACCAAAAAAACAAAAAGAAATTTAAACTGGATGAGTCAGCAAATGACACATAAAGAAAGAGAGCTCAAGCAACTGTAAACACTTTTAAAAAAAGCTATCCAAATCTACATGGCACTATGTGAAAAAGTAATTTTCCCTTTTTAAATCATAAATGAATTGTGATTAACCAGAATTTTTGCAAAGCTGAGTTTTTCAAAAGCCAAACCCAGAGCTGATTACTGCCAGACTGCGAAATCCATAAATCACTTATTTAGAACCTGTGTGACAAAAAGAGATCACGCCACAATCTAAAGAAACTTAAATAAGAGATGGTAAACCAAGTCACTGGCATCTATCAGTCTATATCAAATACACAGCCATTTCTAATAATTTGAGACTCAGGTGAACCATAATCCATTATCCACAAACAGAGAAAACTTGGAACTGTGGTGAACTTTCCCAGTGAGTGGCTGGTCAACCATATTACTCGAAGAGTAATCCATGAGAGTTTCGATTCTGACCAAAAAGAACATAGAGGCTCGTCTCACATTTGTCCAAAAGCATCTTGATGGTAATCAAGAAAATATTAAGTTGAAACAACAACATAAACCAATAGTCAAACATAGTGCTAGTATGGTGGTCTGGGGCTACTTTGCTGCTTCAGGACCTGGACATATTTCCATAACTGATAGAACCTTGAACTGTCTACCAGAAAATCCTGAAGGAGAACGTCCAGCCATCAGTTTGTGTGCTCCAAAACACTGCATCAAGTCCACCTCTGAATGGCTCAAAAAAGCCAAAGTGAAGGATTTGGAGTGGTCTAGCCAAAGACTTAAATTTGACTGAGATGCTTCGGCATGATATTAAACAGGCCATTCATACTCCAAAACCTTCCAATATGTTTGAATTAAAAAAATTCTGCAACAATGAGTGAGCCAAAATTCCTCCAAGATGATGTGAAAGATTCATTGCCAGTTGTCGCAAATGCTATTAGGTTTAGGGAGCAATTAGTTCTTCAAATAGGGCCAAGTAAGTTTGGATAGCAATTTTCTATTAATACATTTTTTTTTTAAACTGCATTTTTTATTTAATGAGATGATCTTTGGGTCTAATACTAAAATCTGTTTGATGATCTGAAACATTTAACTGTGACAATTATGCAAACAGACAAATCAGGAAGGGGTCAAATACTTTTTCATGGCACTGTAATGATTACGATCATACTTGGACTCATAGTCCAAATAAGAAAACAGCCAAACACTGACTAAACATATATAGAGCAAGCAAGAATTGATTACCCAGTACTGTGGTCACAGTCCATATTTCAACCCTCCTCTAAAATGTATATAAAATAATCTTTTAATTCAAAATTCTTTTTAACCCCAAACTAAAGAAGGGCAGTATATAATACAGATATCAGTTATATAGTATTCAAGCTACTTCTATTTTCAGTTATTATGGAGAAACATTGTGAAATGAAATCACACAGAAAGAAACAGAACTCCAGCTTTTGTGAAGGTTTGTCAGTTAAACTGAAAGTGATAACATATTTAAGTTTTACAGTTTCATTTTGTGATCTACATATAAGATATACGCTTTTTTTAAAACAGTGATTGTACAGTCTGAATTACTCTTTCAGAAATATAAACTGCTTCTCACAGCTTTTAGTGTGAGGTCACACTGGAAGATCATTTCTCGGATCTGAGTCAGGATAGTGCTCTTCGCATTAGCCAGATCCATTTTCCTGCTCCCTGCGTCAGCTATGCAGTTCTCGTACTGGCCCTGGGCCTCCTCCGCCTACCCAAAACAATGGACAGAGAGTAGCATAAGGACAGAGAAGAAATGCGCACAGAAAAATTACTGTCCATACCAAATAATGCCACAAAATATTGACACCAGTTACTTTTTCTGTTTTCATTTCTCCCGCCCACCTTTTGTAAAGCCTCCTCTTCTAGCTTTCTCTTCTTCTCCAGCTGTTTGTTCCCAGCATTAGACTGATCCTCCTGAGAGCGACTTGCTGCTGACTGGGCTTTTTGGTATTCCTCCCTCCTCTGGGTCTTCAGTGCCCGTGCCTTTCGCAAGGTTGCATCTGCCTCTTGCTGCCAAAGCCACACAGATCAGCCACAAAGACCATGTGATTAAAATGTGGCATATGTGTTCAAAAGTTATCATAAATTTAATCAGATACGTTTGGCGGACGATCAGCTTTGCATTTGAAAAGGCACACCGAAGTTCGTTTGTTGCCATTGTCTAGAAAATTGGACATTTTTCTATAATAGAAACACCACCTCAGTCACTGATGACTAATCTCCTGGCAGGTTGATAACATTGCAACATGCTCTGTGGAAAGCTCACCAGTTTGTAACACTACAGTGGAGCTCTTCTACTTAGCTACGAGTAATTATCAAACAACATCTACACAGTGATTCTGTAAATACCATTTTCTTCTGCTCCCTCTGCCACTGCTCCTTGATTTCTTTCCTCAGCTTATCCAGTTCATTTTTGCGAGCCACAAGAGGCTGAGAAGAAATGAAAGTCAACAATTACACTTCAGTATTACTTGTTAATAAAAACGAGGCAAAGAACAAACAATTTATAAACTAATGTACTTTTACAGATTATTTTATGCAATGAAATAACCCAACAGATGTTCTTTGTTAGGGACAAGATAAAGTGGTGAAGGGCCATAATTTACTTCTCGTTACTCTTACCTGCATGAATTTATTGGTCTGAAGAGTCATGGAGGTTTGAATAAGCAGCTGGTTGTACTCCATGTCTTTCTTGAATGCAGAAACGTAGAGGTCACTGAATGGCATGTAGTCCTTCAACAAACAAAAAATATGTATACATGAGTCTTTGGGGTTACTGTATAAGACCTAACAACCAGCCAATATAATCAATATTGCTTTAAAGCGTGGCTACTGAGTTACCTTTTGACTGGCCAGTGTTTTTGCAGACTCAGCCATTTTGACGTAGCTTTTAGCATTCTCAATATCTGAAAAATTGAGAATTAGTTAAGACTGCTTAATAAGAAATGACTCAACAAAAACATATTTACATACAGTTCATAAATAGATAATACTTTATTAAACCTTAAGGAAATTCTGTATGAAGTATTAAAGCCTCTAGAACCCTAGTCAATTTGTAGCCCTCTACTGCCTTACTTTTTGTTAATGTAATTGTCTAATATATAATAAAGAATGGCCTATTGACAATAAGGCGTGGTAGAAATTTTTTTTTGAATTACTTAAATGTACAAATAATTTTGAGCAAAACAATAAAATGATTTTAATCATTGAGAAGTCTAAATGGAAAGAGTTTTTCTTCTGAAATCTAGCTTTCCCCTGAGTGTGAGGAAGACAAATAATATTGTAAATATAACAGCAGAAACAGTTTTCCAAAAACTCCTCTAGCTTTGTCCATGGGTCAGTTATATACTTTACTGTTAACTCTATTTATCTGCCTTTTGCAGTGCAGATGGTGTGGACTTATACTGGCAGCATTTTCTTTCTGGAAAAAAAAAATCTAATCTAATGTCCTAAGCCCTGTGCAGTAATCCATTGTTTCCAACCTAATAAACTGTCAGTAGTCTCACCCATGGCTAGCCGTTTTTCCATCCAGGCCAGAAGATCTTTGATGTACTTGGAGCAGGTCTTGGCATAGAGTAGGGCGGACTCAACTCCACTGTCATTCTTCAGCAAGGTCAAGTCAACTTCCTCCTCTCGTGGCTGTGGCACTTCTGAGCCTGTAAAGTCAACAGAAGAGAAATCCACATGTTTAGTAGTATGACCAAAATATCTCAATGCTGGATTGATGGAACTCACTTTTACTATCCAGCAGACGTGTGTGTGTGTGTGTGGGAGGTAAATGAAGGGGGAAGAAAAACAACAATGAGGTCAGCGGCATTGTCAGTGTAGGTGGATATGAAAGGACTAGGCATCTTTTAAAATAGTCTAAGAGCAGCGTTTTCTTTTTACAACCTTTTCTAGCTACTCGGAATCTGATTCAACACAAATCCCATGTGTTTCCCATCCCACACAGAACTACTCTTTAACAGGCAAGGAATGTCAGATATGTGGACGGAGAGGGAAAAATGAGGATGTAGTATGAAAAGGGCAGCAGAAATAACAGGGGTGGAAGCAGAGGTTTTAAGGCGGGTCTACCTCAGGCACTCAAGAGTCCAAACACTAAATCACTCTGCTAACACACAAACTGACACTTCAGGCTGCTCTGACAGCAACAATTAAATGCTTGGTAAGGAAGCCATTAATAGCTCTTACATATCAGGGTGATGTTTTATTTTATATTCATTGCGCAGAGATAAATGATGAAACGTGAACAACACTTACCCACAAGCTCCCTTTTCTCTGAAACATATCCCTCGGGATCCACAGAGAGGTTGTCAGAAGACTGTGAAAAAGACATTTCAGATTATAAGGAGGGAACAGCAGACATACAATCAAAGTCAGACATCAGAGGCAGCTGGGATTTCAACAACCCAATTAAATACAGAAAGCAAGTCTTTGAGGCTTTTTTACTTGGGGGCGGGGTAAAATTGCTGCTTTAAGTGCACCCCTTTGAAAACTGTCACCGTCAAAACAAAGCTTTCGAAAAGATATATGGAAACTGTGCAAGCTGGGAAAAGGAAGATAGTGTCTCACCCTGCTTCTGTTTTTCTGGGCGATCCCCAACCCTGGGCTGCTGTCCACATCTCCCATAAGGAAGTCAGAAACTCTAAAGGTATATATAATTGTGTACATATATACATATATGTCAGAATCCAGTTTAAAAGAGAAGCATGTAAACGCCTGTGGTCAAAAATGCAATCTATTCAATAACAAAGCAACTCTGACAGATAGTATTTACACCAAAAACACAGAACAAAGTCCAAACCTGCTATTCAAAACACATGACAGAGACAATTATAGCTTCACAAGACCAATAAGTTGCTGTCTTGAGCTCTAAAGTCAGCCCAACTTTCCTGACAACAACACAAAAAGTAATAAAATCCAGTATTGGTTAAAAAAAGTAAACAAGCATTGTACTCACACATTGCCGAATGTGAATGCCAAAGTGTCAATGGATGTGTGTATCTCGGCAAATATAACTTTTTTATTCTCTGGGTTCACGGTTGTGGAGAAGTTAACAGCTGTGGAGAGTGACATACAGGAACTCTGGTCAAACAAAATGGAATTACAAACCAGCTTTTGTATACACAATCAATCAACAATAGCACTGATACAACTGAATCTGTATGTGGCTAGATGACAAGTTCATAGCCTCCAAAGCAAAAAACAAATGCCAAACAGATCAAATGAGTGACCTGTGAAAAAATTCTAAAATTAGTATTAAAAAAGCAACAATGGCAAGCACATTTGTTCTTGTTTTACCCGTGTAAGCCTCTAAGATCATAGTTAGGCTTTTGCAGGAAGTGTTTACGCCTCTATAAGTTTAAGTGGCTTCAAGTAAGTGCTGACATACTTGAGGATGTATAAAAAGTCAGTAACACAAGGTCAAGAGGTTTAATAGAAATGTTACAAGAACAGCTTAAAAACCGTGTTAAGAGTAGAAGCAGCCAAACGCAATGACGTGCAGCCTGCATATCTCCCTACCCAATCAAAATGTCTTCCTGGAGCAGGTTCAAAAGTCTTCAGAGGTTGATATTCAAAGAATTTACAAAAACAATTAAAGAAATTCTTCCTCCATTTAAAGGTGTTAATATCCCTGGGGCCATCTTCCAACGCTGATCATTCACAAAAAATAATCAAACTACACACATGCACACAATCTCATTCCTTCCTTTGTGATCTGGTAACAGCAAAATGTCCTTTGACTCTAGAAATCCATCCAAGACTGAAAAATCTTCGATAAAATGTACACAGAACTTTCTTTCTCATAAAACACTTAACTCAGCAAGAACACGCTTGCAGAAAATAATCAGGACAGCTAAAGGCACAGTCAGTGAAATCTGACTGAGCTGAGTACTTCCTGTCTGCCCCACAACAGGAAACACTCACACAGCTTGAGTTCTGTGACATGTAGCGCTATATTCAACACTTACCTTTTCTCCTTGCCGCCTCAGTTGTCTAGCAACTGGGACCAAAAATCTCTAAACAGATCTCGTTTCGAGAACACTTTCTATATTTTGTGCTTTCATTTTCTCATCGTGAGTAATCTCCATCCATGCCAGTTGTAAAAGCATAAACTATTAAGTCCCAGCTTATAAAGAAGCACAGAAAAGTCACGGCATCCTGGCTTGAAGAGGCAACCCCACTTTCCAGGGAGACACTCGAGGACACCAAAAAGAGAGGAGGTGTGGTGCGAACCTCCCTGCCGTGCACCTCACTGGCCCTGAATGCTAGCGTACAACTCAGCGCGGAGTTCTTCCTCAGGACATCCTGTGGGTCCTTTAACAATGATTCCAGAGCTCAGCCCCCCTTGTCATGACTGAAATATGGAAACTGCATCATTCAAGTGCAGGACCCATTGTTTTCTCATAGTTTAGCTGTAAGTAGGAACATTAGCTCAGGAAAAAGTATGCTAAAGCTGGTGTATCATTCTGACTTTATATGTCTCAATGTTTCTATTGGAAGCACATCACCAACGTTACTTGAATGTGTAATTGGCTCTATTACTAGGTAAAACTAAAACAACAACTGTGTTTAAATCCCCCAAAAAAACCCAGAATCCATTATCAGTAAATAACACACTTTCCTAAAATCCATTTAATCATTCTACAATAAGGAGCACAGGGACATAAGATCGCCTTTGTCACGAACACACAAGACTGACTCCTTTAGACAAACACACTCTTTCAGCTGTAAGCATATTTATAGACAAAGGGGAGCAGAAAGCGAGGAAAGAATTTCAATAAGCTGAGGAAGTCAACACTTTTATTGCAATGCCCTGCAGTTTTCAGTAGTGGGAGGGGAAAAGGAACACATAGATGAAATGTGACCAGGAAAGAACGCTTGACTTGGTTTGTTCTGAGCCAATGAAAGTCTGTGAAAAAGATTTTTATCTTTGTGACGACACACAAAGACACAGGCTAAAAGTTGAACTGGAGCACAACATGTTTCTGACATTGTCAAGTTTTCGACACAGCGTCAAATTAAGAAAAACAATAGTAAGAGCATGAGCAGATCATATCACACATGAAACAGGTTAGACAACCATGTGTTTGAAGAAGAAAGGAGGAATTTTTTTTCCCAGTGAATTTTGGCAGCTGTCCCAGTGCTCCAGGTGCCATGACCAAGCTTCAAAGAGGAACATGGGCGAAGAGATGACACGGTCTGAAGACAGTGAGGCACACAAGGCCTGTTATCATCCAGACCTTTGACTCTTCATCTGATGTCTAACTGATTCATCCCTCTTTCAACCTCTCCTTTTCGATCCTCTGGCTAGCAGCCTGTGTCAGTATTGTGTTACCTACTGGCCATTAGGGACAGTTCATCCAGGGAGAGTGTTGACATAAGGCACCCCCTTGTGGACAGGCAAACTCCAAACTCAACTACATATGAACGCACTGGCTTTAATGCAACACTCTATAGCAGAGCTTTACACATAAGGATCAACACCACACTGCCATGTACAGAATGACACAAGCCTGACATCAGACAGAAGTGTTGATTTTATTTTCATTTTCAATCTTACACTACATGCCCTGGTTTCCACGTGTCAGCATGCTGGTTTTGCCAGGGTTTTCAGAGAGAAGTGGAGCAATGTAGTTCCCCATGGGCCTCCATCTCTTGTTAAGCAGCCAAAGCAGGTGGGTCAACAATAAATAATTAAATAAATAAGTGGACCATTGCAATTTAAAAAATAACTCTGTCACAGCACGTAGCTTTTAAACCACATTAATCTCAGCAGTGGCATTAACTGGAGAACTGTTAGTCCAACCACAACTAAGCAATGCCTTTTCTAAAGAAAGAAACTGTTGTCTCCAAGTACCAAATGACTCAATGAACTTGGTTAAGGTCTTGATTCATGCGTACTCTTGTCCAGTTTTAGTTTTACTGAATACTTAAAAATAGTTAAGGTTTTTAAAATTCAAAAATTCATCCATTCTCTTCCGCTTGTCTTCATCAGGGTTGTGGGAAAAGTGGATCCAATCCCAGCTACCATAGGGAGAGCCAGGACGTGAAAAATATTTTGAGAAATATTTTTCTAATTAGGGATCCACCCAACTTAGCTCATATCAGGGTATGGATATGAATTTCACACTAGTGCTTACTTTCTCTTCACTTTAGTTCTACTTCATCTTTCTTTTTGAAAATTTCTGATATTTAAAATATAGCTATAGCTTTTAGAATATATAACTGACAGCACATATTCTAAAATTTAAAATTACATCAACGAAGTCATTTAATGTTTTAATCAATCTGATATGTATAATTTACTCTCTAACTGAGATAAAAGAAAAAAAAATAGATTTTTTTCAGCTATTCAGAATCTTTGTGCTGCATAAATATGTCTAAACTAAGCTGGTGTAATTCTTTGTCCTTATGACTCATGCCATCAGTAAAGATCAGTCTTCACAGTGCCTATAATTTCTTTGGCTAATCTGTCTATTTTGTTTCCCTTTTGTATTCTCATCATTGTCAAAGCAACACTCAGGCTACAAACAGGCATTCTTGAGTGTTTTTAAGGATTAGGTCACAACACAAATATTGAGATAAGCCAGGTGACCTGTCAGACATCCAGACACCTTACAACACAGGTAAAAACAAAGAACAAAGAAAGCAAAAGAACAAATGCGACTGTAAAGATCGACAATCAGTTCTGTTGAAGGCTTCCACATTAGCTGAAATATGTATATATCTATCTTGAGTTCAAATCAAGAGAAGAACTACACTTGCAGTGGATCTCAATTCCAGCAGATTAACCTCTCAGTTGAGCTTCCCTTTGTTTGTGTTCATTTGTGAGACAGGAAATGGATCTGTTGCTTAAGGAATAACAACTTCTTACAGTGTGAGCTTTTAGTAACATTTCTCCAAGCCGACCCTAACCAAACAGAGATCAGTGTAATATTCCAGCACCGTATTTGCCACACCGATCTGAGAGACTGACGTAGACCCATATGCTGACATCAGTGTTACAATCGTGAGATTCCACGCATCTATATTTGACCATCATCTGGGTGCCAGTGTGCAAGTTCAACTGTGTGTCTCATCCATGCATACTAGCGAGAAACTACTCACCTTTGACCTTAGCAATAACTGTGCCAGCTGCTCCCAGAATGTCAGAAGAGTTGAGCGTCTGGTGTTTGCCAATGACAATTTTGAGGATGCGAACTAATTCCGCCAAACGTTGCTGCACCACCTCCTGAAGACCTTCCAAATTCTCTGAGGGGGAAAAAAGGAGAACACGTGAAAGTATTGAGAACATAACAAGACGAATCACACATTTTCATCTATTAGTCAAAATGAGCACCATTACACTGCATTTTAAAGTTAGTTATGTCATGTTAATTCTTGGCATTCCTTTGTCAGTGTCACAAACAATACTTCACAAATATTTTTAAAATATTTTTGGAAACTATGAAGAGTCCGTCATGTTCTGAAAAACTGCATAAAAACCCAAAAGCTACATCTTAGACTCTACAGGCCTCAGTTAGCATATTAAATTCATCACAGCACAATTAGAAAAAGACTGAACAAGTATGACCTGTTTGGAAGAGTTGACAGGCGGAAGCCTCTTCACTCTAAAAAGAATATGGCAGCACCGCTCACGAATGCAAAGTTGCATCTGAACAAAACCACAAGCTTTCTGGAACGATTTCCTCTGGACAGATGAGACCATACCGCAATGTTCAGCAGAAACCAACCACAGCATATCAACACAAACGCCCCATACTAACTGTCAAGCATGGTAGTGGAGGGGCTTGTTTTGCAAGCACTGATCTGACCATGAACTCCTCTATGTACAAAGTAGTGTTGCTATGATGCCATTTTCAATACTATAGGGAAATTTTTAATGAAAAAATAAAAAGAAGCTTTTAAAGAAGCTTTTAAAAGAAAAATAAAGATTACAATACTGGTGTAATTTTTTTTTCCTGATCAATAGATTTAGTAAGATAGAAATCAAGGAGAAGGAATGAAAGCAGAAGCAAGGATTAAATGGAGGAATCCGAATAAGGAAGAATGTTTTCCAGAGTCCAGGGAAGAAGTTGATACAGGCTCTGTGTGGTAGGGAGGAGTTACCAGATGACTGGGAAAGGACCGCTGAAATGGTGAGGGAAACGACCACAAAGGTATCTTGTGTATCCTCTGGATTTCTTAAGGAAAGACAGAAAACTGGGTGGTGGAATGTGGAAGGGAAGGAAAATATTCAAAGGAATGCAAAGAAATAGTGTGAAAGTCAAGTTTATGGCAAAAGCAGACAGGAGTACTGGGAGCCTAGGTGTGGCAAAGCAAAAGGCTTATAGCGAATTATATGTAAAGCTGGACACGGAAGGAGAAAATGACTTTTATCAATTAGTGAGGCAGAGAGACTGAAACGCAGAGCTGGATTAATAGATAGAATAGATAGATGATTAATAGAGAGATGGAAATTTACTGACAAGTGAAGAATGTGTTCAGAAAATTTGAAGAAGTCAAGGATGATGAAAATGAGAGAAAGAGGGACAGTTAGTCAATCAGGAGGCGCAGAGGATTAGCAAGGAGGAAGTAAAGGTAGCTATGAAGACGATGAAAAGTGGAAAACTGGTTGGCCCAGATAACATGCCTGTGGAGTTATGCAGATGAGTAGGAGAGAAGTGATTATTGAGCAGCAGTATAGCTTCATGCTGAGAAACAGCAATACAAATGTGATGTTTGCTTTGAGAGTGTTGTGGGGAGAAATATAGATAAGATCAGAAGGGAAGCATGTCAGAGAAGCATGTCAAGGTCATGTAGGACACATATTAGGACAGCAAGACAGCAGTGAGGTGTTTGGTAGCAGTGACAGATGGATTCAAAGTGAGGGTGTGATGATATCATAGATTCGCTTTGACGTCCTTCTTGTTTGCAAAGGCGATGCTGAAAAATGAGGTCAGTTTGGAGTCTCCATGGTATCTGTGGACTACAATGGGTGCTATACACTGGGAGACACAGGATGAAAGTCTGTAGAACCAGGACAGAATAGATAGTGTGTAAATGAGAGGGAGGCAGGTGGAAAGGCAAAGATGCAAGAACTAGAGGCAGTGAAGGTAGATGAGTTTAAATACGTGCAGTCAACCATCCACAAGAGAGATAAAGAAGAGAGTGACGCAAGCCTGAAGAGTATACAAGAAGGTGAGAGCTGGTATGATGTATGGTTTGGACACTATGGTACTGACAAAAAGATATGACGCTGAGCTGGAGGTGGCAGAGTTAAATAAATGCTGGGATTTTAGTTAGGAGTAAAAAGGAGGGGCAAGATTAAAAATGTGTATATCAGTGTGACAGGTCAGGTTGAGCTTTTTTAAGACAAACTAAGTGGAATAAGGTTGAGATGGGTTGGAAATGTGCAATAGAAGGTTAGTGGATATACTGGACAAAGGATGGAACTGCCAGAGAGGAAGTGCTACTTAGTGCCACCACTAATGCCATTGTTTTGTTAATTCGCCACAGCTGCTACCTGCTATCTTACTTATAACCTACAACTAATGTGGCAATCTGATAACTGCTAATAGCTAAATGTCTAATGTTAAGGTGTGCACAGGTCAGATTACCATTTAAGATAACTGCTTAATACTTGGATGCTGTCAAAACAGGAACTTTGAGATGCTTTGCCCAGTATTCATGTGCTCAGCTGCAAGTTACGGGAAAGGGCTTTATTTCTGTCTGCTCATGCTGGGTAAAGCTGTGTGTCAGCTGGAGGAGGCAAAGATGGGACTGTTTTTTATCTATACTGTTGTAAATTAATATCTAATCTGATAACAATTTTTAGTATCTGAGTATAACTTTTTTATATGATACCTATGGCACAAATAAAACTATGCATAAACAATTTGTTCTGCAAATATGGGTTGTGTTGTTGTTCATCTGATGTTGTATTTATTGAGGGTGATAAGGACTAGATTTTTTTATTATGTCCTGACGTATAAAACCTTAGAAGGTGTGCTTTCTTTTTCACATAACTGTACGTTGTGTAACTTTTTTTTTTTTTAATCAGTGTCTATAGCTGTGTCTCTACCAGTTTAAAGGTGGAAAACAGAAGCTTGTGGTTGTGACAGCAATGATCTCGGTTGCATGAAACTGCTGTGATGCAAGCTGTTTTCTGCTTCCTCCAGGCAGAGTGACAACACGTACAACGGAAGAGGTGTATGTTGTAAACAGGTTAATCTGTCTCAGTCACAACTTTAATATTCATATACATGGAGAGATGATGAATCCTGAAATGATGACGTGTTTTTTGTGTGTTTTTGTAGTCAGAAGTGAGCCAAAAATCCATCTATAGTTTCTGTCATTATTTCAGTCCTGATGGACAGGTAAATCTAATATTTATTATTAGTTATTAGTTATTAGGAATGGTTAGTGCAACAGTACTGGGAAGGACTTTGTGCTCCATACAATCTGTAAAATGAATACAAGTCATAGGGCTCTTTCTGTGGACAAGGATGTAGAAATGAAATTTCTACACAGTGTTAGCAACATAGAATGTTTTGTTTAAGGGGGATTCTGCAAGATATTTTGAATGCCAGTAAAGTTACCCAAGATGACGACATGAAAAAAAATGTGCAAAATGCAATCTGATTACTCCTGTACTTTCTTTTCTTTATGTTATCACACTGCATCAGTGTAGCACTGCTATGAAAGGTATCTCTTTCCTGTAAAACTACGCAAAGCCGAAGAACAGTTTTGCGTGTCTAACCAAGAATTTTTCTATCCGCAGATTGTCTTCTTTCTAATTCCATAGCTGCTCTGATTTTTTTCATTTCTACATCATTCCAAGTGGTCGCAGACAGGGTTTTAACAGACAGCTGAGCACTTTGGGAAAAATAGAAGTCAGCATGAAAAACAATAAATCATGTGACACAAAGAACCTATGCACACAACACAGCAACAACAGGAGAGGAGTCCTGCTCTGATCCAACCTAATCACCAGAAGCCCTGTAAGCTTCACCACACAATAGGTGAATTCATCTTTAACTCACTGTTTTGGAAGAAGCAGGGGCACCGGCTGAGAAAAGAAACTCATCTGTTCTTCATCAAAGCTACACTAGCAGTCAGGAGGGTGAGGCGAGACAAAATTTATTGGAAATTTAAAAGGAATTAGAGAGGGAGTGAAAAAGAAAGTCTGGGAGTGGTTTTGTTGCACTTCCTACTCTTTTTTAAACACACACATACGCACACACACACCAATCCAACTGGCTGGTGTAAAAAATGTAAAAAGGACCATTTGAAATTTCGACATCTCACCATCTGTGACATTTAACTAATGACTAGAAAAACAGACATTGAATTTAATTAAAAGAAATTCAAAGAGACTAAGGAAGAAGAATGGCAAGGTTAGGTTAGTAACAACAAGACCTGTTTTTTTTATCATTCACAAAATATAAATGGCTTAACAACATGGTCCATCTTGCCCCTCATACCCTGTCCAAAGGTTCCACCCAAGGATTAACAAAAAGGTGTCCATTACAGCAGGTGGTTCACTTGGTCATTTCCCCCAAGGTGCAAGGCCCTGACCTTGCAACACATACTTTGAAGTCCACCTATTGAAGATAGGTCTTCATTAAGCACCCTTTCCTTCCTTTTAACCATTCCCAAACCCCCAACCCCCTTCAGGGACTGAGTGGCTAGCTCACTGGCTTTTGAAGATTTTCTTATCAAAGGCATGTGTGAGTCATATATTAGCATATAAGAGCCAGTCCTAATGAGATGCACACCTGAGAATTGTTTTACTTAGCATGACACTAGTGGAGCATGACTGAAGGTTCTGTTACAGTATCACAGCAGTAGTGTAGATGAGAATCACCCATTTCCTTTTCCTCTGAAAAGAAAAGAATTTAATTAGACTAATCTATTCTTCAGACCACTATAGGGGGCAGAAATTGTGAGGAAATAACAATAGCCATGATGTTGTGGCAGCAAGGACAAATGTCCTGAGCCAATCTACAAGATGATACTTGAAGCCAAAAAAGGCATTTTTTCATCCTTTGTTTACTGCTGCACTGCCTGCTGTCAGACATGTGGCACTGTGCAGAGCTAAAACACTGCACTGGAATGGCACAAATGTATAAATAGCAGCCAGCAATCTCAATTAATGATAAACATATTGCCAGCGAGCATGAACAAATAAAGACAGCATCTACACTGATGAGAGAAGAGTTTCATGAATCCACTGAAACAACATTTTGCACCACACCTGCGAAACCTGC